GTGTGTGTGTGTGTGTGTGTGTGTGTGTGTGTGTGTGTGTGTGTGTGTGTGTGTGTGATAATTTTAATATTTTTCTGAGCTGTTGTTCACATTCTCACGTCTACGTTCTGGAGAAAAGTCAACACAAAGTCCCAGAGGAGGCCCTAAAGGTTGGTGTTTGTGGGTGTGTGTTTTCTATTGTACAAATTACTGCATAGAGGGTGTTATTTAATTTCCTTGTTTAACTGCATTTAGTTTGCATTTCCAAAACTACTCAGAGCGTCATGAATTTCTCATGACTACACACAGCATTTACAGTACTGTGAGTAAATGCAGTACCGTGAGTACATGCAATTTGCAGTACCTTGAGTACGTTTGCCTCATTCTTCTGTTTCAGCATGAGAAGTACAGCAGTCAGCTGCAGATGAGCCTAAAGCCTTCAGAGGGGAAGAAGAGCGACGTGGACGAGCGGGCGAGAGGCGAGAAAGCGCAGAGTACCAAGAGCCTCGCACAGGGTAACAATAATACAGCAACAGTACTGGCAGTAAATATACTGTGTATCAAATGTACTCCTAACAATACTGGGCGTAATACAAGCAATAACACAAAATTTTGACATCACACAGGGTCAAAAATATACTGCACTGTACAAAACATAATGTAATACAAAACCCTGCACCAGAAAGCCTGGTGCAGGGTTAAAAAGTACTGGATCAGGAGTCTGTCTGCTGTGTGTTCCTGTACGCAGATGATGTGTCGCTGTTTGTTCTGATGTATTTTTTACTATAAATCTGCTCGTTCAGGAAAATGTTTTAGTAACAAACCAGAAAGTTGTTTGTTCACGCTCCTCGGGACACTTTGATTGGTCGTCAGTTTCACCTATCACACGTTTCTGTGACAGAGGCGCCGGTGTGTCGGCCCACTCCTTTGTATGGCCAGCCTTCCTGGTGGGGAGAGGAGGATTATGGGAGTAAAGTCCAAACCAGCGATGAGCCACATTCAGGTACGCACACCTTAATAAAGTGGAGGAGTGCACTAAACTGGTGCTGTATAAATAAAGCTAAATTGAGCTGATGGTGCGTTATTGATGATGTTGGTGAGATGTCGTCTCTTTGCCTCTGTCAGATGTTCAGAAAGACGCTCCCTCTGCAGATCCAGAATTTTCTGCATCGCTGTCAGACTGTCAGCCAAAGTCCGCCTTCCCTTCGTACCACCGTGAGCCGAGCTACTTTGAGATCCCCACCAAGGACTTCCAGCACCCTAAGTCCTCAGGCGCGGAGCTCCATGAGATCCCCACCAAGGACACTGACACGCCCCCGGCCCCACTCTCGCTTCCCACTCCGACTCCGCCTGTCGTTCAGAGCCATGCCTCCTTTACCATTGAGTTTGATGATTGCATGCCTGGGAAGATCAAGATTAAAGACCACATCACCAAGTTCTCCACTCGCCAGAGGAAGCTGCAGGCTACACCCACCAAGACAGCCATCATGGCCACACCTGCAGAGGTGATGTCAGCAGAGAGCAAGGTGGCTGACTGGCTGGTCCACAGTGATGTAAGCATGATGAAGAGACGCCCACCGTCTGAAGACGTTTACAGCACCAAGAGTGACCTCGCCATGAAGATCAAGACCCTGAAAGGTCAGAGTTGCACCTGTGTTCCGGACCATACCTGTGTTACCTGTTTGTCATTCACAGGTAATCGGGGATTATGCTTCCTGCTGGTGATAAAACCTGTCCAGCACTTCATTGTTAACAATTTATTGACACACGGTCCCTGAATCTTCTGATATTTCTCTGATTTTACTGACCCCACTAAACTTGTGTCTTTGTTTGAGGCTATCAAAGCTTCAGTCATACACTTGTGACCATTGAGCTTCAAAGTTCAAAAGCTAGTACTCACTGACATCTTTATTCCTGTCTTTAGGTCACCATCATGAGGATGGGACCCAGAGTGACTCAGAGGACCCAGTTCTCAAAGGAAGGAGTAAATCCCACCACTCGGTCCGCACTGAGCACTCTATGCAATCAGAGCTGTCCCAGGCGTCGCAGCAGGTCATCCAATCAGGCCAGTCCATCCATAGTCAGCTACACCAACCACTGCAGTATGCTCCACCCAGACCGGCCTCTGCCTCACCCGTGGCCCCTGAGAGGCCCCTGTCCCAGAGTCCTCCTAAAGCTCTGTCACCCACCGAATTTCCCAAACAGGCGCCCCCCGAGCACCTCACTCAGCAAGCTTTCATCATTGAGTTCTTTGATGACAACCCACGCAAGAAGCGCTCTCAGTCCTTCACCCACAACCCCGCCCATGCTGACTCGTACTCCACACTCAGAGCCAAGTTGGAGCGGCGGAAAGGCGGCGAGAGGCCGGCATCTGTGCACGGCCACATCCCTCCCACACAGCAGGTGACGGTTCCTCTGAAGAGTCAGAGCCATGGTGGCCCTCAGAGGTCAAGCTCTCTGAAGAGAGAAAAGACCGAGGGGGAGGCGGCTTCGTCGGCTTCCTCGTCTCGCTCCTCATCGGGCATCATCATCCGACCTTTCGGCAGCGTTGGGAAGAAGTCAAAGCTTGCCCAGGAGTTTGCTGCTGAATTCCTGAAGGATTCGGGTCGTAATGACTCCTCCCCAACCAGGGATAAGACAACTCCTCCACCAATGTCTGCACCTCCTGTGATGGTATCGCCTCATCATACAAGGATCCCCTCCACACAAGAACCTCCAGCTCCATCTTCTGTCTCCTACCCTGCCTCCCCATTACAGCCTCCAGCAATCTCAAAGACCCCAGTCCCAGTCAACATTCCAGGCCCAGCTGCCGCTCCGGTACATCCGTCTGGACCTCCCTTCTCCACCATGCTGCCCATGGCCGTCAGTGGAGGAGATGTCAAAGGTACCCAGAGGATGGCCCGGAACGAGGAAGACGACAGCTTGAGCGATGCTGGGACCTACACCATTGAGACGGAGTCGCAGGACAAAGAGGTGGAAGAGGCTCGTAACATGATCGATCAGGTGAAGTCCCAGTGAAAACACAGTAAGAATAAGATCTTTGTGATAGTGGTGGGGTGAGGCAGCATTCATTGTTCCTGCTGCTCGTGAAAGGGTGTCTTTAAGTGGTGGTGAGTGCAGGAAAACTGCAGCACAGCACACGTGCTGTGCCGTATGATTCTTCAGCAGGGATGTGGACTTTGATAAAATAACACATCTTATGTAATGTTGTATTCAAACCCTTGTGTCATTGCTGATTATCTCAGTTTTGTTGTCTCGTCTTCACCGAATCTTCCAGATAGAAAAATGTTTATGAAATTAGAAATGATCCTAGGGTATCTGGAAGTATTCTGATGTTGCCTATCTGAACAGTATCTCTTAGTGATGTACCTACCCTTGTATCCTTCCTATTTCTTCCTGTTTGTTTTTTCTGCCCGTCCTCATGCATGTCCTGTGCTCTGACAGGTGTTTGGTGTCCTCGATTCTCCAGAGTACAGTGGTGTGAACACTGGTGTGTATAGACCTGTGATAAATGATGGAAAAGATGAGCATGCTAACCTGCCTAGTGATGGTAGCACTGTGGACTCACTGCATGGCTTTATCCCATCTTCTATCAGCGGCCCTTCAACAGGCCCCATACAGGTAAAAAAAAAAAGTGAAAATTTTGAAGTACAACCTGGAGAAACACCTTTGTAGCACACTGTTATCCCAGTGCCTGCACAAACATGTTGTTATTCCCTATTTCTTCTTGTGATATGAATGTAAATGTTGACGTTTGTTTCCACTGATCTTCCTGAAAATGGTGTTGGTCATCATATTTTGTTCTGCAGGTTCCAGCTGCTCATGCTGCATGTCTGGAAGGCCCTAAGTGGGTTTCACGTTGGGCCAGTCTAGCAGACAGCTACGCCGAACCTGGTTCCACTCCACCTCAAGTAGAATGTCTAGAAGGTGAGGTTTGTTAAAAATACCTTAAACATGTTTAAAGAGCACAGAGCCGCTGTTATCTCAGCTTTATGTTTATTGACCTCCAAATGTGATTCCGTTTGTCTACTTGGAGTCTTGAATTTATCAGTAATTTGCAGTTTTGTAAGTGAACAATAAATGTATCTATACACAGTTCAGAGCAATGGACCCATGGTCTTATTTTTACTCCGCTTATTGTTTTAAAACTAAAGTAGTTACGCAACATTAAAGCAACTCATATAAAATGCTGACGTGACTAAACTTGTGTTGCAGATTCACGTCTCATGAGCCCTTCGATGGGAAACTACAGCTACGACAACTCTGAGTCAGAGTCCAGCCACAGCTCCAGGACAAGAAGGCTGCTGCCCCAAGTGCCTCCAGAAAAGCTAGACGGTGTCACCCCAAGCATCATGATTCGCCATGAATCTTACCAAAGCCAAGAACCTCTGGACAGAGCCTTTGGTCCCTCCCACTCAGTTGACTCCACCCAGCGCCTGTCCGTTCAGGATGATGTGGACCCAGACAGCCTGAGTGATGCCAGTCGCTCAGATGATGGACCTGTTCAAGAGAAGATGAGGACAAATCAGGTCAAGACTGCATTTGTATCTCCAGGGATCACTGGTCCTCAGCTTAGAGGTCAGGAGAAAGTGTCTCCATCCTCCAAATCCACCTGCTTCTACATTGGTTCAGAAGACCATCCCAGCAAACCTGAGCAAGCCCAGAGCCCAGTACAGTCTGAGAAGACAAGAGACCCCCCAGCAAAAACTCCCCCTACCACTGTCCTGATCCGACATCTGAGTGGATATGAACCCAAGAGGACGGGAGTCAAACCCAACAGCTCTGCTCCAAACCTCCAAACACAGGACAAAGATTCAGTTCCAACCAAAGACAGTTGCACATCATCCTTCATCCGTCAGGAGAGTTTCACCAAAGACCAGCCCAGTGACACTGTCCAGATGAAGAAGCTTCCCCACATCTCCAGCCACCCATCCATCAGAGACATGGAGCAGAGGCAGGAGAACATCCAGGACACACAGTCCTTCCTTCAGGAAGGAACTCTATCCTCTCTGGATGCCAAGTTCCCCTCCTCTGGTTCAGGTCGCAGCTCAAAGAAGGAGGGTTCGTCCAGCCACATGGACGACTCCCTGTCTGGTGAGTCAGATGTTGACACGGCTAGCACGGTGAGTCAAGTGAGTAGCAAAAACACTCCAGTCAGCTCAACTTCTAAAAAGCACCCTTCCATCAGCAGCCTTCAAAAGGAGAGGTCCTCTTCTAGTCCATCCATCCAAGAGAAGGGACAGCAGCTCAGTGCCCGTGAGCGACTTTCTGAGAAACGCCGAAACCAGATCACTGCCAGTGCAGCAAATAAGGCAGAGGCAGCGAAGCGCTTCCAGATGCGCCGCAGTGCCGGGAATCGTGGCTCTCTGGATCTGTCTGAAGGCCAGCAGGGGTCTGGTCCGCAGTGGACTGAAACCCCATCATCTGATCACGAAACGTCCCGTCCATCCAGCCGCAGCAAAAAACTCATTGCCCCTCTTCAGAAAGAAGACAATGGGAAGATGCCCAGGACGGCGACCCAGCAGGTTCTGACACGCTCCAACAGCCTGTCAGCGCCACGGCCGACCCGAGCCTCAATGCTGCGGCGGGCACGTCTGGGTGAAGCTTCAGATAACGAAGGTGCTGAGACTGACCGAGGCTCTCAGAATTCTGACCATATTGCTGCAGCGCCCAAAGTGTCCACTGAGGGGAAGAAGCTGTCCAGGCTGGACATCTTAGCGATGCCCAGGAAGAGGACCGGCTCCTTCACCAACCCCAGCGATACCGAGGCATCCTCCACAGGACGGCCCACTTTCTCCAACCGGAACACAGAGGCTGTTGTCAGCACCAGGAAAACATTGGTGGGTGACAACCGGCAGGCAGCTAGCAGAGGAGGCGGAGCTCCAGCGAAGCAACCTCTGACACGTACCCGTTCGAGCGGAGCCAAGTACGCCGGCAGTGGTGAGTTATTCCTTAATGACCCTGAATGTGAGGGGTTCCTGATGTTTCAGTCAGAGTTGTTCCTCCTGAGTTGTTCTAGGATGAGAGACAGAGGTCGAGTCTGCCGTCACTCAGTCTAATCGCATTAATCATAGGTGTTTCAGTTGCTCCGTCGTCTCCAACAGGTGAGGACTGGTCAGTTTGAATTTTTTGGCCTTTTATTATGGAATGATAATCATGTCATGATAAATGCATGAGCCAAAAAATTATTCTGAGAAAATAATTTCATTTCACTGGTGCAATTAAATTCCTCATGTATAAATTCAACAACCTGTGTGTGTAAGTCTCAGAGCTCCGAGAAGCAATTGCTCATGCCAGCTTATCAAGGTACTAACCGCAAGTCCAATGTGTCCCAGGTGTAAGTGTTAGATAAAAAAGAAAAAGTCTGTGCAAACCTGAGTTTGTCAAAAGTTAGTGCGAGCAGCCTCAGCTGACTGGTGTGAAACAGCAAACAGACGATTCAGAGGAATCAGGACAATTGTGAGGAAATCGGGGAAACCTCCTCATCACGGTCTCACTTTTTGAGCTTCACAATGAGCTGAATTGTTTGAGTCGTATCATTGTCGCATCTTTACCTTTACAACATAAAGTGCTTCGAGGCCATGGAAATAAAATTGAATTCAATTGAATCATGGTAAAAAGCACTTAAACTCAAAACCCTCCATGAGGACAGACTCTCTGGTGAGATCTGCTGACCTTTGCTGTCATTGGAAATGTCGTCAGATTTCTGATGCTGCTGAGTCTGTTTGTATTACCGTGGAAACAGCATCAGCTCCCTTGTTATGAACAGGAATTAGGACACAAACCCAGATACCAGCTGCAGCCCAGAGCTTCGCCCTGCAGACACTTTAATCTGATGTCCTGTCACAGCCACAGCCATCCAAACATGCTTACTAACGCTCTGAGGCAAAGCCTAATGCTGTGTAGAGTTGGACAGAAGCTCTGGATGGATGATGAACAGCGCCTTTGTGCAGCTGCTGTAGTGATTTGGCACAATATAAAATAGTATTGAAGTGAATAATTTCATTTTTTGGCCCTTGATCACAAAGAGCTGAGATGCGAGGGTCAGGGTGATCACTGATGAAGGCTCACAAGGATCAGATGTCAAACGTCACCTGAGATGTCAAACTTCACCTGAGAGTCTGAGGTTTCTGACTGAATGATGGCATAGCGGTGATCTCTGGAAGTCATGGTTGGCTCTTATCTGAACCTCGTGTTAAACAGAATCTCGTAGTTGAGGTTTGCAGTTTCTCACGACCGGCTGTTCTCAGGTTCCCGTCGCAGACAGAAGGGCTCGGACTTCTCTTCTTCCTCTGATGAAGAATACGAGACGAGTGGCGGTATCTCCAGAGCCAAACGCTCCTCCCATCCTTCCACCTCTGACCAGACGCCACACAGCCACTGGACGCCCGCCACCAGGACCAAGTCTGTCTCCCTGGAAATGGAGGAGGATGAGGATCAGAACGACGTTGACCCGTACCAGAACTGGTCCACGCACAGCGCTGAGATTGCAAAGTAAAAGCACTGTCACATGTTGACACGTGTGCCACGGTAAGGTGATGTCACTCACCTCTCTATGGTGATCATGTGTTTGCGTTTCCCCTGCAGGCTCAGTCAGGACCTGGCTAAAGACTTGGCCATCTTGGCGAAGGAAATCCACGATGTTGCTGGGGATGGGGACTCGCCGAGCTCCAGCATGGGCACCACCACGTCTCCCAGCTCGCTGCCCAACACGCCAGCCTCCACCATCTCCGCCAGGGAGGAGGTGGGCCACAAAAATCCCTCATAACACTCTCACTACACACAGGCCATAGAATGACTAGCAGGCAGGGTTAGCAGCAGGTGTTGTGTTGCAGTGTCTTCAGGTTTTGTTTATTAGCTCAGCAGAGGTCAGTGCAAACTCCAGTGTTCCCACTTCAGATGCTGGTCTGACTGGGAGGAAAAGCCTTCGTCATGCTTCGACTCATCGTTCATTTCTCTGTTTTGCTCGCAGACGCCATCCTGTCCATACTTATGGGGGGTCCGACCATCTCAGGTGTCTGACTCATCTCTCCTCGTGCCCTGTGATTGGTTCCCCTGCCATCACTAATCCTAACACTCCCTTCTCATTGGTGTTGTTTTATTTATGTTTTGAAAGATTATTGATAATAAACTGCTGAGGCGGTGCTGAACAAACCCGAGCTGGAACAAGTGAGGAGGTGTGTCAGAGCAAGGACTTGAAGCCCCGCCCCTCCGAGGGTCTGCTGAGAGCAAAGAGCTCTATAAAGAATATGACCTGAGGCCAGGTGACAGGTGGCTTCACCTGTGCTACTTCACACTCCCTACATGAGAATAAAAACGTTTCACAACTCGGCACGCTTCTTTGGATTCTATGGTTTAACAGTGGCAACCAAACAGCCTGTAGGGCCCTAACTGCCACCTTTTGGCAGTTGTAACACATTACACCCTCCAGGTGCCAATAAAAACAAGATCAGAAGTCACGACCCCTGTAGTGGAAGCCTGTTCTCTCACTTTTCACAGCCAGCCACCACATTTAAGGCTTTATTGTGTTTTATATCGGCTGTTTCACAGATTTGCCAGATACTCCAGCTGTGGTCCTCTGTGGAAAGGAGCTAATGACAAACCACAGAGTGTGAATCAGAGAACAAATTTCCACAGCGTATCATTGGGTGCTCTGTCTGACGCGCCCTCATAAACAGACGAATAAAACCCCTACGCTCTGAAGTTCGTAACTGTCTCAAACAGAGTCCGTCCCCTCTCGCAGGTGACTGAATCAGATGTAAGAACCTGAACCTGCCCCAATGGTGTTGGTTCCTGCTCGGTGTTGTTTGGTGCTCACTCAGTGGTTTTGATGATAATCGGGTCCATCGGCCTCCACCGTGAATGAACTGGTGTTACTGGTTTTGGAACAGTTCGTGAAGCCGTGGCTGGTGCCCAGCAGGGTTCTCCCGCCCTCCTTCGCCTCCCCGTGGTCGTTACGCTCTGTCTCCCAGCAGCACTGAAATTCACTGCGCACGCTGTTGCCTCCACCATTGCAGCTGCATGTTGACTTGGTGCATGCGTTCACAGAGCACAGCCATCACCGTCTAGCTGGTTTCATCACCGGAGTCAGACTCCTTTTATTCTCTTTCCAGCTGGTCCAGCGTATCCCTGAGGCCAGTTTAAACTACCAGAAGGTTCCTCCAGGTTCTGCTGCTGTCTCGGACCTGGACGCAAATATGAATGAGCCAGAGACCGATTCTAAGCAACGGCGTCCGTGGAACCGCGAAGAGGTCACTGTCTAATCCCTCTGAGGCTACGTTCACACTGCAGCTTGTAGCGCCACGGTCATGTTCATGTGTAATTAACAGAGCAGTTAACGCCAAGGTGTGTGTGTGTGTGTGAGTGTGTGTGTGTGTGTGTGTGTGTGTGTGTAACCCATCGCACTGACCATCGTCACACCCAGATTTAGCTTTGTTTTAGCTGGGACTAATAACCACTAAAATGACTGTAATATTTAGGTTTTGATTAGTGCTGTCAGTGTTAATCTTGTTAAAATGACGAGCTAGCATGTTAGCCGTCCAGACCCATACACAGATCTATCTGCGTTAACTCGCTAACGGAGATTTGCTGCGTTAATGTGGTTATGGCCTTAACTTCATTTTAACAAGATTAAGGCTGAGAGCACTAGTTTTAATATTGTTGTCTGCTTACTTCTGGAGGAATTGGGACTGCGGTACACCGCAGCCTGAAACATGGATGTGCGTGCTGTGACACTTGCTTTAGTGACCATATTTGGATGGGACGGAGGTGCTCCAAGTGATCTGCTATCAGGTGTTATTTAGGAGAAATTATCAGCATTAATGTGTTTGTTTTAACACAGAGTCCATAAAGACTGACTCAGTGCTGCCTGTGCTGGACATCAGAGGAACTCCAGCTTCATTTCTCAGCCCTGGCAGGTGCGTCAGGCTGAGGACTAACTGTGCTATATGCTCAGATAGTATCACCTAGAGGCTGCAGGGATCATTACAGCTCGCACCATGCAAGGGTCAGACTGAAGCGGGGCTCTAGACAAAGGCACTGCTATCCATTGTTTCAAGACTAGAACATCATGCAAAAGTAATGAAACCCTACATAGCTGCCGTGTGAACATAGCCAGTGTGATCGTTACCATGACTACAACTGCTGCAGTTAGTTTTGGTGTGCTGGGAAATCAGGATGTAACCTGCTGGAGCCACGTGACGGTGCAACGCTGGCTTCATCTCCTGCCCTCTGCATGTCCCTCTGAACTCTTTCAGGTGATTCTGGACAACCTGATGCTGAATCCAGTGTCTCAGCTGTCTCAGGCCATCCGGGAGAACACAGAGCAGCTGGCCGAGAAAATGAAGTAAGGAAGCACTGACACCCTGAGGCTGTAGCAGCTCAAACCTGAGAAATGTTGGGGATGCTTAAAAGGATCCCTTTTCATCAATATCTTTTTAGTTTGTACAGAAATGACCACCTCCTCCCATTCAACACGTTTACCCAAACCATTCAGTCCAAGTGCAGCCTCTCTCTGGGGGAACAGCTAGTTTCCCCTCACAGTGAGACAAAGATTTAAACTTCAGACCACAGATGTAAAACGAGGATGATTTCTTTGGTTCCCTTCACTTGCTATCAGGCTTATTAGGTGTTCAGGTGTCTGATCCGGTTCGGTATAGTAAGGGGCACTTTTGGGAGCTGTACGCTGTGGTTTCTGAATGCTGGTGCTGACTCGACAGTGTCTTCCTCTCAGAGTTTTATTCCAGAACAAGGCTGAGGTCTGGGAGGAGATTGAGGCAAAGATCAATACTGAAAATGAAGTCCCCATCCTGAAGACCTCCAACAAGGTTCATCTCCATATTTATTGGCTGATTTAAACAGCACAAAAGCAACTTCATAGAACATCTGGAAACCTCAGTTTTCTGTTTCCTGTTGCAGGAAATTACCTCCATTTTGAAAGAGCTGAGGAGAGTTCAGAGGCAGCTTGAAGGTACGTTCAGGTTTGGATTTGTGTGTTTTGTCCAGTTTGAGTCTGTCAAATCCCAAAAAAATTCAGGGACAGGTTTTTTTTTTTTTTTTAACTTCTAGTGAAACCACAAGAAAAAGACAAAGAAGTTCCAGAACTGCCTAATAATTGAGCTGATGAACAGTGCTCAACAAATTTATTACACCACACAGTGTAAGATTTATGGCACAGCTGCCCTAATTAACAGTATTATTTATCATGTTTTATGTTTTTCTAATGGTTATTCCACCACTATGCTCATTTAACTCAAGTGATTTCAGTGCTAAAATATCATTACTGTGCCTGACTCAGCAGAACATATAGTAAAGCAAAATTATTATTTTTTCTTTTTTAAATTAGGATACCAAATTGTAGAATTTATTTACAGAAAATCAGTTTTAGTTGTTGAATGTTGTGCTCGAATCATTCCTGTGTGTGTGAATTCAGTTTATCTACCTCATAACTATTAAACGGCTCTCGTCATTGTGGTTTTCAGTTGAATTGAACTTTTAACTGTGGTTCTTTTTAATGTTCTCTTTGTCTCCAGCACTTTTGTGAGAGTACAGTGCTCAGCATAAATGAGTACACCCCACTACATTTGTCAGAAAACCTTTAGTTTCCTTTCAACATTTTCTATGAGATACAAAATACTCCCACAAATGTGGACCATTGATTGCAAACCAGTTTTGTTTATTTACACACACAAAAAAGTTATTTTCCTAAAAAAGTTCATTCTAGCCCATGTCGCAAAAATGAGGACACCCCAATTATAGTCTTAGGAGAAAAGCCACACTAAAGACTACAAAATTTGAATTAACAGGCATTCAAGCACAGGTGAGTCTAATGATTCATTTAAGAGGTGTCCAGCAGACAGGTGACTATGAAAGGGATTCTTTATCAAAGAAAATCACTTTCCATTTCATGATGTCATCAATGGCTCCACATGGAAGAGAAATGTCACAAAATCTGAGAAAGGAAATCATTTCTTTACAAAAAAAAAAAGGTGAGGGCTACAAGAAGATCAGAAAAGCTTTACATTTCAGCCAAAATACTGTAGCAAAAGTGATTCAAAAATTTAAGAAAGATTGAAGTGCAACCATTGTACAGAGACGTCCAACCATCCACGGAAGTTAACATCTCGACAGGAGCGTCTTCTGATGAGAAGGGTTGAAGAATATCGCCATGCAAGTTCACTTCAGTTAGCTAAAGCAGTAGAAAGCCAAACTGGAGTGACCGTTTCACGTGACACCATACAGCGCACGCTGCAGAGGAATGGCATGCGTGGGTATCGTCCACAAAGGAAGCCTCTCCTAAAGCCCATGCACAAAAAAGCACGCCTAGAATTTTCTAGGGCCCATGCTGAAAAAGATGAAGACTACGGGGACTCTATAATCTGGAGTGATGAGATAAGGCGTTGTAAAAGTGAGGATTTCAAAGAGAAATGCATGGTGCCTACAGTGAAACATGGTGGTGGCAGTGTCCTTATGTGGGGCTGCATGAGTGCTGCTGGTGTTGGGGAGCTGCATTTCATTGATGGTATCATGAACTCAACAATGTACTGCTCTATACTGAAGGTGAAGATGCTGCCATCACTGCATGCACTTGGTCGTCGTGCACTTTTCCAACACAACAATAATCCAAAACACACATCTAAAGCTACTGTTGCATTTCTGAAGAAGAACAGGGTGAAGGTGATAGAATGGCCAAGTATGTCTCCTGATCTGAACCCAGTCAAATACTTGTGGGGTATTCTGAAGCGGCAAGTTGAGCATCACTCTCCGTCCAGCATTCAGGCTCTAAAAGAGGTTATTCTTGAAGACTGGAAAAAGATAGATGTTGCAATATGTCGCCAACTGGTTCATACCATGTCTAGAAGACTTGGTGCTGTCCTTGAAAATCACGGCGGTCATACAAAATACTAGATGTAGTAGTTTTTGTTGTGGGGTCTATTCATTTTTGCTTTAACCAATTTGAGTAAAACTGAAGATTTTGTGATCGAAGTTATATTATTAACCTTCTTTCCATGTTATGGAGTTAAACAAGTGTTCAATAAAACTCCGCCTTGTGAAAATTTGGGAAAGTGTTCTTAGGTTCATTGAGCTACTGATTAAATTTGTACTTTTTAACGGGGGTGTACTCATTTATGCTGAGCACTGTACATCTTATAAATCATCTCAGACTCTATCTGAAGTAGACTCATTGGCCCTGGTGTGTTATTTAATATTCTTGTAATGTTCTTGTTATAGTTATAAACACGATTGTGGAGCCTGATGGCGGTCTTCAGGCAGCAGCCGACGCAGCATCCCTCAGTCAGACTCGCCCATCTACAAGGGAGAAGAAACCCAGCACCAAACCTCGCGGAGCCCCCAACACCAACGAAAGCACCAAACGACCGCCTCGTGGACCCGATGGGGCCCACAACATGGCCTGAGCAGGCCACTGTAGCACCTCTGGAAAGTAACTGTGCATCCACCAGTCCCTGCCTCTGACTGTAACACCCAGATCCACAACTCAGTGCTGACTTCAGCTGTAAATGTGTGGTTGGAGGCTGGTGTGGGTTTGTGGCGGGCCTGTTTGAGGTCTGCCTCTAACTTATCATTCATTCGCAGCAAGAATGGATATTTACAAAGCTTCTGACAAATGCCGTGCATCAGTGGAATTTTTGGTCTGAATTTATTGGTTTCCAACCCAGAGTTTGGTTGACGTTGGTTTCCAACGTCAGAGCGATGTGATGAGGTGATGATCTCGGTGTCCCACAGGTCATAGTTGTGAACTTTCAAGGATGCAAATTTTAAGTGAAATGCTGCTGTGGACCAGAACCACATGCATCGTTTCTAGCAGAGTCCTCTCACATGAATCCTTGCCTGTAAATACTGCAGCTGTGAACAGACCTCAAACACACCCCTTCCCTGTCTACAGGGAGCAGCTCAGTCATGCTCCTTCCGGCTGTTACCGTGACGACCTGTCTCCGGTGTGTGTTTGTTAGGGTGGAAGAGCTGCGGCGTGTGGATGCACTGAAACTGTCCAGAAATAACTCTCATTCGTGGTCAGTGTATATCTGTAGAACTGCTTCCACTTTGCACAAGCTCAGCAAACGTAGTCAAAGCTCCATAATGAAGCAGCCGCTCGCGCCACCGTAGTACGTGGATGATGTACAAACATATACCGATAAACTTTGTGCTTTGATAATCTGTTGTTGCGTTGCATTTGAACAGATAGATTGTGTTGCTGTTTTTATGTCTGTATTTATGAAGAGAAAGCCGTAGCTTCCTGTGGGCTGTGCAGACAGGAAACGGAACCCTGAGCTCAGCTGTAGAAGAGAAAACTATGTAATGTTGTGTTTCCTGAATGTTTGGGTGCTCCGCTGCAATGACGCTCAGCCTAGGGCTGCTCGATTATGGCAAAAATGATAATCACGATTATTTTCACTGAAATTGAGATCACGATTATTTGACGATATTTATTTAACCCTTTAAGACCTACTATAGAACCAAGTCCACCAGAGCTTATATTATTTTTTTTTACATGCTGTAGTGCCATTTGTGGGAGCATTTCAAGTTGCTATACATCAATACAACTGTTATAGCCCATATTTTAATAATATGTATGCATTAAGTCCATAGTAATTACATAAATTGCAAAAAAGTGCAATAAACTACAAAAAAATTGAAAATCGCTTTTGTTTTGTTTACATATATTTCTACTTGGAGAAATTTAAGAGGTTTATCCCTCAAAACTTTAAATACAATAAAGTTGCAAAAAATAGTTTCCCACCACAGGAAATTTATTTTGAGTGTCTTCATAGTTTTATTTTGGAGATACAGCAATTTTTATATACTGCAGGAAAAACAAAAAACAATCCTATGATGCAAATTTGCAAAGAAAACAGCATGTGCATCATTTCACTGTGGGAAGTGTTACGAACAGCTGATAGGAACGGCAAAGCGTGTTTCTGGAATATTATGTTTTTGTTCCTGCAAGCGCTTTTTATGCAATTTTTGCAAAGCTATATGTGGAACGAAACCGTGACCGAGGACAAGCTGATGGCATCAGATGTAAGTACAACTCCTCCGGTTTCATATGCAAAACAAATTATTGCGCTAGCTTACACGGTTCAGGTTCTACAGGGATTTAAAAATAGTTACGCAAAACGGAGCGTGCTGCTCTGACCGGCTTTAAAGGGTTAACAATGACTTTAAAAAATAATATAAAATAGTGTGCAACACCACTGAAGTTTTTTTTTTTTAAACTCTCTTTTCAACCAACGGCAGTCACTCTCCAAATAACTTCTGCTTAGCTTTCCGAGCTTCCCTCGGGTCCTCTTAATCAGCGGTCTCCAACCTTTTTTGCGCCACGGACCGGTTTATGCCCGACAATATTTTCACGGACCGGCCTTTAAGGTGTCGCGGATAAATGAGGGAGGGGCTAATAATCGGCTCAGTCATTTTTAATGATCGTTGAAAGCCCAGATCGTAATCGTGATTAAAATTCGATTACTTGAGCAGCCCTAGCTCAGCCTCATTTTCTTTTGCCATCTTGCCGTAATTGTACATTAGCTTTGAAGCTGTGTCAGGTTATGCTGAATGAACAGACTTGTGCTGGTCCCTGAACGCATCGCCTTTCTACCTAAATTGAAAGAAATGCGAGACCAGACTCAGCTCTGTTTGGCACGCTGGTTTCTGATAGAAAGGCTCGCCCCTTAACATAGTTCAGGGTCATGTGAAACAAAGGAACGTTGAGGTGTTCTCCACAAGTTCTGCCTCACTTAATTATGACACCTCATGTGTTTCTGGTAATGAAATGAGCTGTAAGGCTGACACACCGAGCTCTAATCGCAGACCGCAGATGTCTGTGGAAGCAAAGCTGCAGCTCTGATCAGAACAAGCCACTGTCCATTTGCCCCGTCCTGATCTGTGAGGGCTCAGAGAGTCCAGTTTGACAGCGTTATGTCATGAGCACAGGCTGTATTCCTGATGATGAAGTGTGGACTCATCAGCTGAGAAAAAACTCAACAATTAATTTTTTTCTTTTCGAAGCTGCTCTGTCAGAGAAGCTGCGGACTTGGTTCCAGAGTTCAGGACTGACACTCTCCGATTGATGAACAGCTCGTGTCCTTTATATCCTCGTTTCAGCTGACTCTGCTTGCTGAGTTCTGCTCGTCTGTGAGCAGCATGAGCTGCTGGATCAGGCTCACCTGTGATACATCTGTGTGTTGTGGACTTGACTGTGTAACTCCATTCATCTGGAGTGTTTCTGATCTTTGAATTTCTTGTAAATTTCTTGTTCGGCTGCGTTAGAAAAGTTTATATGAAGAAAGTATTTAGAGTTTTACCTGTGAGAGCACTGCCTGCTCTCAGAGAGGCGGAGGATGGCGCGCGCGCGTGTGTTGTGTGTGTGTGTGTTTGTTTTTGTTTAAGCATCTGTGTGGGTAGAAGCCGGTTGTTGAGCGCGCTCAGTGAAACCCTCTTGAGCGATTAGCCTAGCTTAGCACAAACCCTGGAAGCAGAGGGAAAGTGTTAGCATAGCTCCACAGGAGGAAGTTTGCTGTGTGAAGACATCATTAGTGGGCGGGGCACACACGGCATGCCAGGAGCTCATTTGCGTTGAGAGGACAGCAGACCCAGCCAATCATCGTCCAGCTGCGACTCTCAGGACCAGTGCAGGCGAGTGGCAGGCAGGTGATGTATTAGACGGGTCTGTGTGAGTCCAGGATTTATCCAGCCGCAGGGCTGTCCTGCACCTCTCCAGGAGGAATTTGCCTCAACACACCGTTAGTGGGTGTGGTCTGTAGAGAGGGTGAACAGTTTAAGCTAGGCTCACATCAGCTTGTGAACTGAGAGAGCTGAGAAAAAGAGGACTTCACTGAATCTGCTGGAATGTGCGTGTCTGAAGAAGCTGGACTTTTATTTTGTAAGGTGCATGTTTCCTGTAGCTTGCGGCAGGTGAGAGTTTGAGGCTGAGTCACCAAATGTGCACTTTTTCATTGCCGAACGCCTGTGAGGGCAGCTGGAGCTGAGCTTTGTTTGCTCGTGGTGTTTTGGCGCAGCCTTCCAGAATGTACCGATTCATCGCCGCCCACAGCAGACACCTGATTGGCCATTGCTGTGATGATGTAACTGCTGCTGCTACAGGTCATTTGGGCTACCTGCCTTTGTGTTTTACTTTTGTTACAGTGCATGCGGCTGAGAAGCAGCCAGGCTGTAGAAACGTGTGCTCACGTCTCATCGACCGTTTCACATGTCTGACGGTCCTGCGGCCGCCCACGGCCTTTATGTCCACATATCCGAAGCGTCACGCCTTCATCATGACGGGATTTCTTTTATCATCATGTCATTTGTAATAAACTGATCTCATGCAGATGTTTCTCTGTGGTTTTTCGATGCTGTGAAAATTTAAATGAAAATAAAAACCAGAACCTTAGACGGCCTGTGCTCGATGTGTGGCTGAGGTCAAAGGTGATCATGCCCAGAGGACGTGACATCGCAGCAGGAGCTTCATCCCAACATGTGACTCCGCTCATACTCAGATCGTGTACAAACAGGGGCATAAAAGATCTCCTCGTCACATGATGTTTATTCACTTTCAAAATAAAAGCCCACAGCTCAGAGCTGTTAAACATTCATACAGTTACACATGAGATCTGAAAACAACATTTTCACTACACAACTTGTCATTTAAAGACTCAGTCCTGAGCTGCTGAAGCCACGTGATGGGACGAGCTGCTCTCAGCTACTGCTGTGGCTCCTCTGGGCCTGCTGGTAGCCTTTCTTCATGGTGCGAGTGATGTACAGGAACAGTGTCTGCAGGAAAGAGAAGAGTCGTAAAAAAGGGTCAACACAGACGGCAGGGTTTGGCCGATGACCAGCAGGGGGCAGCATGAGTCTGCAGGCCCAAGCAAGCTGAACTGTGCAGGTAAATGAGGTAAACAGGACTGCAGATAAACATTCAAACATGAGCCTGGGGTCCGTTCTTCGTACGTCGCTTACTACATCCAAGATCAAATGACACATCCAAGATCAAATCATCGCG